AAAATCTGTCTCGATCACGATATCGCCGTCTTGAAACGTGCTCAAGCAGAGCCCATGAGAGTTTGTCTGCCACTTGGCCTTCGCATGATGAGCGATGTACAGCTTACTGTGCTTCTTGAAGTCCGCCCACAGGTCGTAGAGCTTGCCCTCCTTCTCGACTTGTTGGTTTTGCAGGGGCTTCTTCCCGGGCCTCTCAACGTCTTCATACCGGGTCCATTTGACAACCTGTTGCGACGTTTCCAGCGCCTTGCAGGTCGGGATGCCCCCTTCCTTCCCAAACCCACAGAGCGTGCACTCCATAGCACTGCAGGCCGGCTTCCGTCCCATGAAGCCAACCTCATCCTCCGGGTCCCCCTCTTGTAGGTCCACCGTTGGGCATGTCAGCGCTTCCGAAAACGTCCCCAGGTGTTCCCACAACCCCTTCCACGCCGCTTGTCCGTCCGGGGCGCTGCACCACCGACAGTCGCGTGGTGCACGACCCTGCACGTCCACTTCGCGCAGCGCCTTCAGATACAGGTCTTGCTGCGTGTGGATCTTGCACGCGCCCTGGTCTGTTGTCAGGGTGGTCAGGCACTTACACCGTGTCGAGAGGAACAGAGCGCGGCCAGGGTCCTTGATGTCCTCGCCCTTCTCCGATTTCCAGATCCTCTTGAAGTTGATGTTGTCCGGCCACTCGAAAAATTTGGAGAAAGCTGCCTCGCCGCCGCCCTGATGACTGGGCAAGACATGTGACTGTCTGCCCCACCACCACGCCCGCGGGCTTGTGGTACGCTCGCTCTCCGAGCTGCCTCTCGCTTGCCCTTCATGATCTCGTCAGCTTTTTCGCGGGTCACCTTGGAAAAATCTGCTTCACAAACCTCCGAGGTGCCGCTGTTTCTAGCAGCTGCGCGCTTGCCGGCCTTGGGGTCGAAGAGCTTGGTAGTGAACTCAACGCCGCGTCCCTCCTTCAGTCTCCAGCTCTGCACCACTTTGAACTGCCGCTCACCAGCATACATAACGCGTTCACATTCGCCCGGGCCGGAAATCGCTGGGCCGTCGCCACGCCTCATACTTCCAGACCCCGTGCGGGCACCACTATTTGCCTGACCAACTTCTGAGTGGCTCTACCCCGCCTAAATCGACAGAGCGGAAGCGATTGCCGAGGTCGGCGAGAAAATAAAAGTTCGGGAATGCGGCGAAAAAAAAGTTCGAGCCGAAGGGCAAGTTCTTTTTTTTTCGCTGACTTTTTCTGACATCGTATTTGGTCGTTTCAGAACGATCTGCGAAGACGAATTTTTGAAAAATAAAATCGTGCCCGCAGGGGCAATTCGTCTTTTGCTCGGAACCCGCGCACAATTATTGAACTATGTATGAGCATTGTGTGTACGTGTTGTGCTTCTCAACACAAACTCATTCTGGGGTTCGATATTCCCCTTACGCATTTTTTTTGTGCCTGAAATAAAAGGATGAAAATCCGAACACATGGGCTTCGCAAAAAGCCAAATGACCTGCTTGTTGTATGGGGAACAGGGTTGACTACAAAGAAAGATGGAAACCGTCGAGGAACGTTTGAACAAAAGCCTGATGGACTCGGGCGTTAACTTTTGTTGAGAAGTACGATACCCACTAGACAGACTTGGTCAGCGCTAAGTGGTAGTAGTCCAGTGGTCATTGTGCTTCTCAACAGCAGTTTGACACGCGCTGGGGTGTGTTCGGAATCATTTCCTACTATTATACATGGCTGCGTTCACATCTCGGGTCTTCAGAAAGTAAACATTACCTCACAGAAAGACTACCCGTTCGAGATAAAGCCTAACCTCAGTCGAAGGGAATATGGTGAAGTCTTTTCAGTAAGTGTATTGAAAACGACTGGAGACTTGACTTGTTTTGAGTTAGTGTAAGCCTTACACTGAGTTATAAGTGATGCCAGTTGGTGCTAAGAACAAAATTTGTTTTTTGCAAAATGTAAATCTGTCTTGCGGTCTCTTAACTTTCTTGAAAACCCAAGCATGTTTCGCTGATGATATTGTTCTGCTGCGGCTGTCTGCTGTCATAACACTGAGTGAGTTAAGAAACAACGGTTGTTTGTCGTAGCTTTGGGTGGGTGTGTAGGAACACCAAGGTTCGCATCGGAAGAAGTGTGAGACTTCCATGTCTCGAGTCTACTTGAACCCTCACCGAACGACGAGAGAAAATGCGTACCTTGTAGCGAGCGACGAAATCAAATCTCCCACGCTTCTCGTCACCGCTTTCGCGGGGCCCTGTTGCATGTTCGGGATTGAAATACAGAGATGATGTGCTACCCGCTTGCTTTATCTCGGCTTGGCACCAACTCCTCTCGCATACGAACCATCCATCCATGCAAATTTCTCTCCATGCCCTGCCCTCGCCTTTCTTTCTGGTTACCGCATCTTCCTCCGAAAAACGTCCGATCCACGGATGATCCAGGATGTGCGACATGTAAAAACTCTTCCACGGCGCTGTCGTTCAACCCTAGCGGCTGGCAGCGAAACTAAGCTGATCCCGCTCTCCAAGAAGTCAAGCTACCGCCGAGATCGCCGGCGGCCTTGCGGCTCCAAACGCCCGACGGCCGAACCTTGCACCCTCGCCGGCGTCGGTCTGCCAAGCGCCCCAACGAGAGCAACAGCCCCCTCACGAATGCTCTCGACGGCGAGGAACGGCGCTCTAGGCAACGGCGCCGGCGGGGAATCGTCGGCAATGCCGTCAAATCGAGTGGGGAACACGTCACGGTCAGGGTCAGGCGAAGCATCGATGTCGAGGTGCGCCGCGACTACCCCGTGAGCGAGAAGGCGTGGACCGAGTTCAAGGCTGGGTGCAGCGTTACATATGACCAAAAAATCCGGGTGAGTGGAGACGTATAACATTGAATTGTGTGGGGGTTCGGTGGCAGTGTATGCTTCGCTCTCGGCTGTGATGGGTGTGTTGTACCAGAATGCACGTGACCCGGCTCTCGCCTCCTCTTTCTCTTAAAAAATTCACGCCGTTTTCAAGGGAACACCGTCTGTATCTCTCACCCCGCTCATAGCTGACCGGGAATAGATCGGTAGGAAACAACTTGTTGTTCTGCTTCTTTGAGAAGTTTCATGCCTCTCTGTCTCTCTCCCGCCCCCCCCCCCTCATTGAATTGATACTAATCCGCGGCAATGTCGATGGACTAAGCACGAGTTGGGTGGGAAGTATCGGTAGTTGTTGCATTTCCCAGGGCTTTGAATTTGTGTGCGTTCTCCAGTGCCAACAGTGGCAGCTTGAAAAACGGTTCCCATTTAGTGTGATGGGGTTGAACATGGAGCTCGAATGGAAATCATGCACGTAGGTACTCACAAACAGACAGCCTCAGCGCAAATAATGTTGGACCAATGACTTCGTACGCCCTGCGAGGTGTTTTTTGGTGTTTGCCGGGCACAAGTGCGCGACTCTGCGAGAAGTTCCGGAGGTACCACACGCTAGTCTTGTTGTCCAAATGACTTTGTGGTGCTTGCAATACATTAGGGCAAGACAATCTACCAACGTCTACACCAATATGATCATGATGATGTGCTTTGTGCTCCTGAATCCCTTTCAGTGGGGAAATGGGTATGTCAGACAAACTTCGTTGAGTCCAAGCCTTTAGTCTAAGACTGTACAAAATATGAAGTCTGCCGATCGGTGTAACGTTCGCGCACGCGCACCACACTGGACCCCGCTTAAGTTCGCCAGCGCACCCCTATTTTCCTGCCCTCCCCCCTCCGCCCCCCCCGGTGTTTGCCATCGGGGTTGGGTTTTCGTCGCTTGGCAAAGACGTTGTAAAACAAGCCAATTCACTTCGTGATCTCGGCAACCAGGTTACCGTTTTTTTTTTTTACCTTCGTTGTTTTTGTTGGCGGTAACCACAATGGTGGTAGAGTAGATCATGTTGTGCGGGGTCGAGAACCCGCTCCGCGCAAGGGGGATGATCGCACCACGTTGTGTTAAAATGGTCAAGCACCCTCGAGGCAGTTACACAGTGCTTACAACTGTCTCTGGAAGTGAAAGCACCAGAAAGTAAATTAATTCATACGCAGCTGTCATCCGTACGCAAGGAAGTAAGCACAAGATGCCGAACACCCTTAGCAGGATGCAGCGCACCCTTCATGCGACTCGCCGAATATCTCACGGCGCTTCGCGCTTGGTGATGTGAGAGCCTGGTCCGGTGAGAACCCGGCGTGCTCCGTCCCGGCTTTGTAGGGATGCGAGGTCAATGGTCTAACGACTACGGCATGCACGACTATGGGTACACCCCCTCCCCCCCCGGTGGATGCCATCGGGGTTGGGTTTTCGTCGCTTGGCAAAGACGTTGTAAAACAAGCCAATTCACTTTTGAACTCGGCAACCAGGTTACCGTTTTTTCCTTTTTACCTCTGTTTTTTTTTTGGCGGTAACCATAATGGCGGTCGAGTAATCTAGATCATGTTGTGCGGGGTGGAGAACTCTCACTCCGCGCAAGAGGGATGATCGCACCACGTTGTGTTAAAATGGTCAAGCACCCCCGAGGCAGTTACACGGTGGTT